AACATGTTGTATCTTGACATCTAATGCAGTGTTTACATCGCATTAATTTATTTATAAATATGTTGACGCAATTTATTTACACCTAAATAGACATACTAATAAGTTAATATACTCATATCTGAATATTTGTTTTTGATATTATTAGCGAATTTAAGTCAATAAAGTATCCTGGATACATTAACAGTATATGACGAATATTTACTCTATACAGCGTGTTAGAAAAAAAATTGACTCAGTTTTTACTATAGCTTATCAAAGTTTACATTCAACATTGTTGTTTATTAATACATATGTAGTATGTTATAATTAAAACATAACTATAAGACGTTAATAATTGCCACCTTGAAAACTACTCACAAGATCAGATTTAATTTTTGATATAACAATAAAGATTTATTCTATGATTTAATCAATTATCCATATGTTCAACATACAAATAACTGTGTGTTCTACAGTTATGTTATTATAAAATTTTGGCCCACAGTAGATTACGTCACAAAGTCGAGAGTTTTTTTTTAAAAAATACATATGCAATAATTGCAGCAAGTTGAATACAATAAAGACATACAGTGAACCCTCCATTCAAGCACCCTCCATTTATGCACACCATCCATATTCTGCATTGCACGGTTTTTTTCGTTTCCCACTATATGAATTCCACCCTCTATTTATGCACACCCGTGATTTTCAGGTGATTTGTACACCAAGTTATGTTACATAGTCATTTGAAATGTCAATGTTATGATGATCAGTCTATACACTAAAACAATATTAATCCGCATTGGGGAAAGAGATCTTTATCGACTTCATGTTATCCATTTTTTGTCGCATCGATAAGGAATAAAAAAAATAAACACTGTTTAATGTCTTTGTTAATAGTATGAGTTACCTTTGTCGTCAATCACGAAATTTATTATGTCTTTTAAGTTATCTTTGTTTGTCGTGCATGTCGCTGATGATAGTGAAGTTGACGATAGTGTTGAATTACCGATGTAAATTACAAGCAGTTTAGAGGTTGTTCGTTCTTTTCTACAACAGCAGGATGATCCAAAGAATTGTTAAAGCATATTAATGCAATAGATCGTTATATCAGTTTAAAATCAATAAATGTAATGAAATAAACGACAATAGATAAGTTTTTTAATCAGCAGTATTAGTATATTAATTTACTATTACGATTCAATAAATTTTGTTATAGTCACGTGTAACCAATAAAATGCTGACCCTCTATTCATGCATCCCTCTATTCAAGCACGCTCTGACGTATTCCCGAGGGCGTGCTTGAATGGAGGGTTCACTGTATGTAGTATTTTCTTTGGAGCCATTTGGCATGACTCTTCAATCTCCAAAATTGCCATATCCGTATTGGCAACAAAGTTTATATCACAGTTGTTTTGTTTATTCAATATAATTGATCTGTCTTTAACAAGTGAAGGCCAAACCTTCGTAATGAATAAACAACAACGCATCAACCGATATTATTAACGTGAACTTACCGAAATCCCTTGTCAAAAGGACCTGATGAGGCATGCAGACTTATTATTTGAGGACAGGCCTAACATTCAACTAATGTAAAAGTCAATTTCACTGTTTACTACTACTACGGAATTATTCGATTGGTTAAAAGTTCAATGTATTTTATAATTTATCCCTCTAAATGCAACACCTCAGGACCAAGCATTTATAGGAGGGTTCCTCTATTAGTATTAGGAAAGACATTTTGATGATTTACAGATTTTACTTTCCTCCGACTTTATGTATATAATTGTTACCTATTAGAATGTCTTCACAACTTTTAGTGCCTCATGAACACTCACTATTGGGGTTCATTGTTACCATCGTCAGCTTCTAACTTAAACACTGAAAAAACAGCGAAGAATACTTTCCTTTCACAACTAGATCTAATCAATTTGTTTCAAAACCATTATAAACGGGATCAAACTTAAACACTGAAAGAAAAAATATAGCAATGATTCACAAAAAATTCTCTCTTCACGCTGTATTCTATCTCATTCGCCAATTTCTTTGTTTGTGATTTGGCTGTTTTCTCACTAATACTAAAAAGCATTCTAAAAAAAGCTCAAGGAGAAAAATTACTCCATACGTTTTTAAAATCAATGATACCCAAACTCTCCAGGAAAATATAGATAATACTAAAGAAAAAATTACTTGCGACATTTACCAAGAAGAACAAAAAATAAACGACTCACTACCACCAACTTATGATAAACCAAGAAAGAAACGAAAGTTAGAAGTCAGGTAAGGGAAAGCAATTTAATGTAAAGCTTTCACCAAGGCCTCGCGGCGTATCAATGAAATCTTGTTCCTTATAGTCAGGATAAAAGACAGCTTAAGCACATTTGTTGAACTTTTGTTCACATACAACCAAAGAGTCAAAATTACACAACAAATTTCAATATTTGTAAATATCTTTATTATAGCATGCTTTTGAAAATATAAACAGTAATAATAGCATCAGAGTAATTGCATGGGAGGAAAATACTCGGACCCAAAGCCGCTTATGAGTATAACCTATTCTTTGTTCACTCTGGTGCAAATTTAACTTCATTATCTTCTTACTATAATAATATTACTACTATAATCTATTTTATATTTATTATCCCCATCTGTACACATCTTTCGTTGAATTGGCCATAATGGATTTTTTCCCGCAGAGTTGTTTTTCGTAGGTAAAAACTTTGTATTGTAGACGCTGCAACAGCTTTTCGTTCACCAAAGCAACTTATTAATTTCAATATCTGTTGAATAAATTTTGTTTGCCGATGGTTTAGTTATTGATGATTGTTGGAATTCAAATTCTTAGTTAATATTCCCATGTTGCGGAGTTGGCTATTAAAACCATGCCATTAAGCAACAGGCCAAGAACAAAGCCAATAAAAAGAATTCGCTTGTGAATGTAAACATTTTTCGTAGTGTATTGGTAGATTGTTTTATTAGTTTAAACGATGTATTGTTTTATTGCGTTTTGTTGATTTTTTGTCCATCATGCGAATTTCTGCGCATTGATTATCATTGGTCACATTCTGCATACAGGGTTTACAATAGACTTTCCAAATAAAGCCATAATTGGTTAAGTTTTTGTGTACTTATTTCTATTTGTGCTTATTTTTATTTATAACTACAATTTTTTATGGTCAAAAAAGGCATGAACTAAGGTTCTTGTGATAAAATGCTTGTTAATTTTTTGTAGGTTGACTGGTGGGGGCGTGGTATGACTAACTGAACGTTTCGGTCATTGCTTTACTAATATTAGCTGGCATCGTAGTCAGAGAATTTAATAGTAATTGATCATATGATGATAAGTTGCTGAAGCGATATCATATAAAACTTTACATTCATGAGCGATATAGATCACATCGATCGATCGTATGATAGCAGCATCAGCCTAAAGGCCAACGATGCGTATATCTTGCATTAATACAAGAACAAGAATCCCTGAACTTACTATTGTAGAAACAATCGTATCGATTGCAAGCGCGTAGGGTAACGTTAATATTAATACAATTCAAAACAGTTGAAAGAAAACTCAAATACATGGATATCGTAATAAATGAAGAGGCAGAAGTTGTTAACGAGGATAGCATTCAACATTAATTAACCGATTACCTATTTCAATTTCAAAATAATTTAGGCTTTTCAATCTTAAAGTTAAGCGTCTTACCTTTGCTGATTGCCCATAACATTTTATTATTACTCCGCCACAAGCGAAATCACACTCGTTCAACAAATGCCGGCAGTTCATGACCTCTGCGCGAGCACAATTAGGATCGATATCTGTACCCGACAAAAAATTAAACCTTGCCATATGTAACGCTCTTTATCGTGAAGGTTTATATCCTCGGTCACTCGGATAACGAGTTTGTGTCAAACACACCGGAGAATATAGCCACGCGCCGATTATGGCTTGAATTAAAAATGAGCTGGTCTTGAAGAAAATGAGCTGTGTTAGTAAAGGATCGAGGCGCGTTTATATGAGTGTGGAAAAACTGCAGAGGTTTTTGGCTGGACAACGTGTGGATTTTGTGGGTGGCTTGAATATTGGAGAAGTCGCTATTATTAGCACTACGCTTGGAGTCATAAGTGTTCATATGTAGACTTTTGAATTTAAGTCATGGATGTTACGATTACGATTGTCTAAAGGAGTAGTTTGATTCCGCTGCCTCCAGTGATTACGCTTTATTTCCAGCCGATTGTTATATGTGTTGAAATTTCAATATTCAGTGGGTAGACATAACGATAGGATCTTAATGGTGTTTAATAACTAATCGAGCATCTAGTTGTTCTTCAAGTATATTGTTTCTACGCTATACTTTCCAAATTGGAAATCTACATTGGCCCTAGTACTAGAGAGGATGCGTCTAACAAAATAAATGCATTTCTCTACCATTAAAAGTGCAGTGATTATTAATAACTTGAAATACTGCAATCAGGTGGTAAATTGGTTACTACAATTATTAAAATAATTTACTGAGAGAAAGGACAGTCGATCCTTTTAATAAATCTGTCCCCAACCAGAGATTATTAGTACTTGTTACTTATTCTTATATTGGTTTTAGTCTTATTATTGTTAAACGGGAATGCTGAAACAATCCAGGCAAACGGCTCAAGAAATTAGAACAGCATCTAGCTGCAGGCTGACGCTAACGTTAAGGAAATGGTGACGTATTTCCTTTAAAGAAATCCCAAGGCTTGCAAAATCTTGCATTTATCGTTATAAGGTTCTACTGTATATTGTTAGGCCAAAACGAAAAATGTACTATGTGATTTTCCTTTTTGCAAAGACTTCAACCACATGCTCTCTCAGGTCTTGTATAATAAGAAATGCCATCGCAACGACATTCGATCCTAGCATTTCCTTTCTTTCCAATTATTGCAATTAGTGAAGCCCAGGACGTGTCCTGCTTACTGTGAAATATAATTTATTCAATTATGAAATTAATCATCAGTAAACGCAATAAAATACAAATTGATAATAGCCATCACAGAACATGTCGGTTGATGCTTAGACATTCTTCTGCAACACCAGGCACAATTGTAACCTTGATTCCCTTATTCATTAACATCCTCACACCTTCACATTTTACGAATCTATCAGGCTCGGCGACTCCCATAACAACTCTTTTTATCGGAGAGGCCATAATAAGTTCGGTACAAGATTTCTTCCCAGATAGACGAGTCGAACAGGGTTCCATCGTTGTGTAAATTGTAAGAGAGGAGAAGGACGAAATGGATGATGGATCGAGTGACGACAGTTTTATTAAGCAGCATTCTTCGGCGTGTGTGTTCCCTGGCAGTTCGCGTGAGTAACCAGTCGCAAGCGTTTCAAAAGTTTGCGGGTTTACGAGAACCTGGCAAGGGAAAGAACACGGTCTGAGTCTGGATTCACAAAGAACGCACAACAGTAGATATCTACGATATGTGTTTAATGTAATTGAATACACACCGCTCCAACACAATATGCAGTTGGCACCGGTGCTGAAAGCTTTGCTTGTTCTATCGCAAGTCGCATAAACTCCACATCTCTAGGATCTTTTCCAGTCATTAGCATGATATGTCATTTTAAAGCATTCAGAACGACCTTTTAACGTATAAACGTACCAGAAGTTTCTGGTATTGTTAGAGAAGAGGTCGACATGTTTTGGATAAATAAAAGTATAAAACCTTGTTATTATTGCAGGTTGGAGGTATGCTAGAGATGCAAGTAAGCGAAAGATCAACTGAATTTATTGCCGCATCAAGGACATGAATAAATTTAAACAAATTAGGAATTCTTGTATAGGTAATTGGAGGGTTTAGTATAAGGTTATAAGAACTGCTTGTGCTTTCCCAAACCGAATACTCAATGCTTCGCATAAAGACCCGGCGTTTACGATTTGTTTTGCCCGAGGTGGTCCGTGTAGAGAAAGTCGACTATACATCGAAAATGTTTACAGCCAACATGCAAAAGATGTAGTAGTAGTTATAATGCAACTATGAGTATCGTATAACCTTTACTTTATATACAAAAATCATCGAGTGTTCTAATTGATAAAAGTTATTATTATACTTTGTAATTGTCATTGCACGTTGATAACACAAGCTTACTTATATGAACGCTTAGAACCCATTGCTTAGCTTTGCGTTGAGCTGTAACGTTATGACGTTAGTAAAGTGTTGAAACCATTCTTAAATTTACTAGAACAAGTATAAGGATATTCTTATTAGACGCGTCATTCTTTTATTTTGTGCCGTTATTGCTGAACAGAATACGAAAGTTAGTGTAATATCTAACTGTAGATAAGCGAAGGCTGGAACATCAAACCAGTTTAATGACCAGTGCGATTTCTTGTTTGTTTAACTATGCGCCTAGTCAGTAAATGGCTGGTAAATAACTAACAAAGGCTTTTTGAGGTAAACTTACAAATGGCCCGAAACCATGAGTGAAATAACTCCGTGCCAATTAAGTCATTCGGTCCAGGAATAGTCTCGAATTGACGTCAAGACATCTCATTATGACTACTTTAATATCGATTTTTATTTACAAGAGAGATCAAAACTAACAAGAGTAATGTTTTTCTCTTCGATAAGCAGCTTTGGAAGCGGTTTCGATAACAAGTTGGTATCGTTGATACGGTATTATCTTCGAGACAGTCACAATAATGAGGACTATATAAAGTGAATAATAATAAAGAGTAAGTTTAGTGAAATGGTAAATGAAGGGTATGAAATATAATATTGTGTTGGAATCAAGAAGGAAAAGACCAGGAAGATTATTCAAACGCAATTAAATATTATTAGTAACAAATAAATGAAAAATCATAATTGTTATTCCAATAAGAGATTTCCTTTACCTGTCTTTACATAATATTTATTTTGGCCATATGTGATATAAACTCTCAAAGAAAAGGTGACTCACACTGTATTGCGGACCTGATATTACTAAAATGATGGAAATCGGTATGAAAGCAGTTTCTATTGATGGGACACATACGTCCATTTATTTATTATTATGGTCAAAATCTCGCGCTGACAATGGTAGCATGAATAACTTGTGAGCGTAAAGTCACTATTACTGTACGATAATTATTACTCTTTCCACTTTTGTTAGAAGTTTGTGTGGCTACTGTACGATTTACGGTTATATTCAGAAATCTAATTTTAACTCTAACGCGCTGAGGTATTTTGGTGCGACATTTCCCAGTTTATTCACAAATTAGGTTAATTAAACGGCTTACGTTACGCACTTACCTTATTATTATCACTTCTCCAAGCAACGCTTGCCTTTTATTTAACTTGTTCAGAGTTTATCATATGGCCCGTCTTTCTCGGACATACTCTCGTTAAATTTAACAACCAAGCATGCCAAGAGGAAGAGCATTTAGAACGACGATTTGGGATCCTTTGCTCATCATCTGTCAGGTACGCACACACGCCTCGTTGTGGCTTGGTAACAGTACAGAGAGAGAGGGAGGGAAGCGATCTTGCAATTCAACGATCTAACTGAAAGTGTTTTGACAGATTATTGCATTACAAACCTTGTATTATACCTCGATATCTGTGATTATATTATTTACGCTGTTGATAACTGGAAACGACATTACACTAGATCATATTTTAGACTATCGGGAATTTAGAGCTGACACAGTTCTTGGGTGGACGCTATGTTTTGCGTGGATCGCAAATGCAGTGGTTGGGTAAGTGTTTATATCGTGTGAGGGGTTTATTGATGCTTCCATAGCCGGAACCCAATTGTCAGATACAGTTAGAGTATATATAATTCACAACTTTCAAACCCGTTGGCAAACAAGATTTGGACAGTATCGAGTATCCCTCTATCACCCCGCTTTTTGATTATCTCTAACCGTCTTTCTTTTGATAGCATTTTTATGCTTGTCCGGTTAATCCAACGCGCCCGCCTGGTGTTGGATTTTACCTTGACCCTGCATTTTTTCCATTTCATAATAACTAGTTATTATTCTGGACATATACCTACGACATTTGTATGGTGGGTGCTTAATGCAACCACCTGCTGTATTATGATATTCGGAGGAGAACTATATTGTATGCGGAAGGAGATGGAACCTATTGTGCTTGATGATGGAGAAAACGGAAATTCTGGTACCAATGCCGGTTTATTGGGGGGCAGTTCTGTAGTCAAGGGCAAGAGAAATGAAGATGTTGGATACGAGTTGGTGTCTCTGGAAGAAATAGAGATTAGATGATATGAAATGTAGGAAATTTAGAATTATTTTGTATTCATTCTAGTGTTGTATATTTGTTACAGTTTGTTTCTTAAAATTCTCATTGCTTACAGACAATTGATGTTAAGTCTTTCAGACTGATAGAAACAGTATCATTGGCAGCATATTTGTTTGAATTATAGTGCGTATTATTTCATATTCTGGGCTTTCAACTTGTCAAAAGATGTCAAGATGCTTGCTCTTTTAATATAGATGATTCATTATGTACTAACAGTAGACAACCATTTCTTAACAAGTTTTTCTTGCAAGTATTTTTGGAGGAGCATTAATTTTCTTCATCATGATATATGAGTTGGTTGGGGGGTTGAGGAGGGTTTTGGGATGTTTTTTATGCAGCCACGTCTGCTTCAATTCTCCAAACGATTGTAATCAAACAATTAGATTTTGAAATACCCGACTACGGAAACAGCACAGTCAGCATATGGAACTCAAAAATCAATGTACCGAATCTATTTATGTATTCCGGAGAGCCTTTCCAGGATGCAACAGATGGCTCGAAAACATAGTGTTGCCGGCTGCCCAAACCATAGAACGGCTTGTTGAGTTTCATCAACGTTGATCGTTGACAGTAGAATGGGGGCGTGAACATACTGGCAATGCAGAGGTTAGGATGAAGTTGCGCAGAATCCGTGAAATCGCTTCCCAAACAATATATATTGCAGATACAGTGAACGTCAGGCGTTATTTTAGTTTTCCATGGTATCATCACCCGCTATCTCTATTGTCGATAATTAATCACCCTACTCTCTTCTCGAGCCGTTACTTGACTCTTCTCCAATACCAGTTGCTTGTTTCGAAATAAATATAACCAAGTTTGGTAACATTCTTTGCGTTTTGTCGATTTCAGTCTGCAGCAAAGGTATCGATCTCAATTCCAAAATAATCTTGGAATTAGATTTGTTAATTATTAAAGCAAATTTGAGTGCTAGTAATAATTAATTAAATCGGCTCGTGCTTGAAAAAACATCCTCAGGAAGAAGGCCCTTTACCAGCAAATGTTTTTTTTTGTGGTAATTATAATTCCCGATCATTATGTGAAATATCGAATAAAGATAACTATCGCGAGGAACTTTATTTACAACAGGATGCTCACTAAAGCAGCAGTTTAAGCTGTTTACATGAAAGAGAAGGGAAAAAAAGACGCCATAAGACTGTATTTGTTGGGTATTTTTGCAAAAATTGGCGGTTCAGCGACTCTGGACTGAAATTAAATTTTTCGGCCTCAAAAAATTAATCACCAAGTGCGTCATTTTGCAAGTCCGTGAAGCGAAGGAGTGAAGATACCGTAGTCCGTCAATGATATCGATACCAAGCTTGCATCTAACAGGCCAATCCAATTCAACAGATGGGTCCGATAAATAATGAACCGCTATCAGCATATTCGAAGACCATGACATATCTCTTTAGCAGTTTGCTTAATGTCATATTCGTAATTATGCTGTGACCTAAACCATAGAGATGAGAAAGACTTATAAATACCAGTGAACACAGAAAACACACCTAACCCTCACTCTAGAAAATTAGCTTCAGAAATTACCTGAATGAGATGTAAGAAGAAGGCGAACACTTTCAACCATTGAGAAACCAACAAATTCAAATTGTCTGTTGGCTGTTGCGTTATTTCTATTTCGTATTGGTTGGCCTCTCTTGCAATATGTGGGATTACTGAAAAGTTTTGTCGCTGGAACCAACTTCTAATTGGTAGCCAAAAAAATCCCATTATATATCAACAATCGGCTGACCAATCCAAAAATAGAGATTGACGTGGTTTATAAAAAGAAAACGCGATGTCATGTTTCATTGCGATAAGACTGCGCCACATAAGTCAGCAGTTCTAACGGCTAAAATCTCTTCCCCATCGTCCAGACTAGCATTGAAGCAAGGTCTGTTCAGGCAGTTGCTAAAAAAGTATCCCCATGAGAAGTTGTTCTTAGGGAATGGAATAGGGGTGTTTGAACGATTGTATAAAACGTCTCAACATCCTACGTATTGGATCTTTGATGATGTCATTTCTTCCGATATAATAATAGATAAACCCGTTCTAAGTTGCTTTGTGACCTGTATATAAGCTGGGTTTTTTTTGTCCAACAATAACATTTGTTTATCAGTATATATATAAGAAATATACTCGACTTGTCTGGGTTACTCCAATCCTAAATGAGGTCGTTTTTATCCAATCCAATCCACAGTTGGGTATTTTTTTTTTAATTTCGCCGTGATTTAAGCTTCTCGTTAATTAAACTCGAAGATCGAACCGCAAGAAAAGATTTATATTGAATTTTACTCGTCCCTATATTAATATAATGTACAAAGCTAAGAAGTGCTATTCAAAAGACAATTATTGTTCAACGACTCGTAATAAAATCGGCATGACTAGTTGTTGGGTATGCACAGACATCACGTCCAACAGACACCAGGTACTAAATACTCGTAACATTTTTGTAGAATTATCATACCCAATTCTGTAGCTTAAAAAAAAAAAAGTTTTTTATATAATTCATATTTTTTTTATGGCGGACGAGTTTGTTGATCTTGAAAAAAAAAAAGAGCATAAACTATCATATTTGAGTACGCACACTTAGAGCGAATCACAGTAAATTTTGTTAAAGAAACACTGACAATTTATCCCTATACAAGCGCGCATGATAACAAAGACTATGCACAAAGACAAATAATAACATCTATACTTTTTACTGATTTACAAACTTGCTGTATAGAATATGAAGTTGCATCTTGACACGTCAAATGTGAATGCTTTATTTTACGTTAAATGTCGAATGTGAATGCTTTATTTTACGTTAAATGTCGAATGTGATAAACGTATTATTTTCATCTGCAGTAACAAGTAGCTCGGTAACTTTTGTTAGTCATATTGCTGCTGAACGTGCAGATGACAGTTGTCACGAGACCAAATAATACCTCCCAAATCAAATGAAACTTTTTAGTCATGGGGTCACAAAAAATACTCCCGATAAATATCGACAATCAACAGTTAATATGGCGAAACCGAGATTCGAACGCTATACGTGCCGCTCCTACTTACAAGATTGCCGGAACCGTTAAGATTGAGTTGCAGCTTGCGCTTACTAGTCGTGAAAACCAAGCCATATTAAAACATTCTTATTTATTGATTGAACCGTTTGCTAGATATATTAATTATTATATGTAACAGGTTGGAAAATCAATGATATGTATGATTGTCCCCATTTATAATACCTATTCTTGACTAGTTCATTCAATTCGACACGGCCCCACAACATTTTAACCTTAAATGTTCAAAAAACACCCCGCCCATTAGAAAAAAAATTAAATTATTCGTATTAATTGAGCGATCAAAAAAATTCTCTGAGCAAATGTCAGCCAAACAAATGAAGAAAACTGAAACTTGTGGGCGTTAATTATCTCAGTCTTGCCATATGATTGTGCTGCAATACTAACGAAACGAAGATCGATTATGTGCGACTTACCAAAGCTGGACTGATAACTGTGCTACGTACAATCCGATTGGCCATTGGGTGCATTCACACGCTTATATGAACATGAGTTAGGAATCAAAAACTGTAGGATTCAACATTACTCATATGTCAATGCTTTTTCACACATTCAATTGGGTTCGTTTAAAATATTTGTAATAAACAGATAGATAACGAACATCTCGGATGATTTTGGATTTACTTACCCAATGTCGAAACAGGCGCCGCGCACGGGCTGTCGGTACATTCTCATTAGATAAAATCGAATTAAAGTGGCCATGACGCGCGCATTCCCTAAGATTTTCATTCGTGGCCCAAAAAGGAGGCATTTTTTTTAATCGCGAAAGCTCATTTTTCCAACTTTTTTTCAAGCGTTACACCAT